GCCACAGGGTTCCGGCTTTAGTGTCAAGGATATAGGAATGGAGTTGTAGAATCTTCCTCAAAGATTAAGGAAAGCCACTGAGACCAGGCATTTGGCAGAGCAGTCTGCTGCATGGAGGCCCAGAGTGGCCATTGCATGAAGCTCTGAAAGTGAAGCCTAGATTGTGTTGGAAACCCCAGGATGATGAAGGTGCCACAATCATAGGATATGTGCCAAGGAAAGCAGCAGACATGGTATGGAACCAGCCCAAGAGAGAGGAGTATGCTGCAGTCAATGACACTTAAAGGAGTTGGAGATCTGAAGAGTCCTTTGACATCAGCTATGGAGATGCAGAGTTTGGAGTTTGCCCTGCTGGGTTTCAGTCTTTGGTTCAATATTTCCTCATTATGCCACCTTTCCTCCCTTTTGGAATGGCAATGTATATTCTGTACCATTGAATACTGGAAATATGTGATCTGCTTGTGGATTTTGATTTTACAGGGGTTACAATTAAGGGATTTCCTTGAGTCTCAGTAAAGGCATGGACTTTGGACTTTGAAATAGTGTAGAGACTATGAAAAACTATGGGAACTTTTGAAGTTTGACTGAATGCATTTTGCGTTATGATAAAGCTACAAGCCTATAGGGTCCAGGGAGTGGAATGTGGAGGTTGAATGAAAATTGCCTCCATAGGCTCATATATCTGCATGCTTAGTTCTCAGTTGATGGGTTGAGAAGGATTAGAAGGATCAAGAGGTTTGACCTTGTTGGAGTAGGTGTAGCCTTGTTAGAGGAGGTGTGTCACTGGGGGTGGACTTTGAGGTTTCAAAAGTCTGCACCAGGCCCAATGTCTCTCTTTCTGTCTTTTGTCTGTGGTTCAGGATGTAGAGCTCTCAGCTACAACTCCAGCACCATGCCTGCCTGTGTACTACCACATTCCTCACCATGATGATAATAGACTAATTTTCTGAAATTGTAAGCAATCTCTCAATTGAATGGTTTCTTTTATAAGAGTTGCCTTGGCCAAAGTGTCCCTTCACAGCAATAGAAAAGCAAATAAGACAGTATTGCTTTTGATATAATATAAACATAAGGAAAGGAAAAATGTTAAAAGTGGAGTGAATTAATTTTAGGGAAATTTTAGAGATGAGATTAGATGTCTAGGACTTATGGGTATAGAGCACATCCATAAAAAGCAATGTTCCTTCAAATCAGGATTTGAAGAACAAATTAAAGAAAATTTTTAGATTTAAAACATATTACTTTAAAAAAAACTACTGTATGTGAACTGTTGTTTTTTTTTTTTAAAAAAAACAAACAAAACAATGGGTTTCCATTGGCTGTTTGCTTTACAGTGTGTCCTGGAGCATGTATTTGCCTGTCTAGTCCTTTGTCTTGAAATGGATATACCATATTTTGTTCATTCATTTATTATTTGAAGGCCATTTGGATTTTTTCAAATTCTGGCTATTATTGATAATTCTTTTATGAATATTAATAAACAAATATTTATGTATATGTTTCATCATTCTGTTGGTAGACATTTTAGGGTAGATTGCTGAGTCCTGATTTCACATGGGGAGAACTGCCAGACTCTTTAAAAGGCCCACACTGTTTTTATATTCCCAAGGGCAGTCTGAGATCTTCAGTGTCTCCACTATCTAGTATTTCTGTCTTTTCTGTGATGGATATCCCACAAGCTTTGGAGGGTGGTACCTTGTGGTTTTAACTTGCATTTCCCTGGTGTCTAAAGATGTTGATCACATGTTCACTTGCTTTGATGGATATCCCACAAGCTATGGAGGGTACCTTGTGGTTTTGACTTGTATTTCCCTGAGATCTAAAGAGGCTGACCATGTGTTTACTTATAAATATAAAGGTGATTTTGTCTTTTGCATATATGGTCTCCAGAAAAATGCATAGTCAGATCCTGTACCTATAGTTTTTTTTTTATTGTGTTAACATACAACTGAGCATCTCATCTATCTTTGAGTGTGTGATTTAGTGAGTATTAACCACACTAGGGGATACAATGTTAATACAACATTGATGGCAAGGATATCACTTTGTCAGATGGACTTGAGTTTGAATCCAGGTTTTTATAATACCTGGTTGGGTATGTAGTCAGGACAAGCTACCAACTCACCCTCAGCCTATTTCATCATTGATTCTTAATGGTGTATCTTTGTTATACCCTAAAAATACATAAATACTGTGACTACATATACTGAAAAAGAGAAAGTGAAGTATTTGCAAAAGTAAAAAGGAATTTCTCACAAATGGGGATATACATAACCAACTGTCTTTTTTAAAAAAAAATCTACACTTTAGGGACTGGAGAGGTGGCTCAGCAGTTAACCATGCTTACAGCTCTTCCAGAGAACCTGAGTTCGTTTCCAGAACCCTTATCAGGTAGCTCACAACTGTCAATTCCAGCTCTGGGGCATCTGGTGCCCTCTTCAGGTCTCTGTGTATACCTACACACATGTGTGCACACATACACACATACATAAATAAAATCTTTTTAAAAATTCACTTCAATTTACCAGTCTCTGGAAATTTAGGGTGGTGTTTTAATTTACTTAAAATATCTGCCAGACACTCTGCTAACTACAGCATGACACTCAGCTCTGATAAGGGGGAAGTGAGACAGCCAGGCAAGCCAGAGTCTAAAGACATTCGCTGATTCACCCACCCCGTTTGCTCTCATTTCTACCAGGCATTCTCTGGAAAGGAGGAAGCATTTATCTGGTACAGGTCCAAAATGCATTTCCTGAGGTCAGTCTAGTCATGCCCCTGTCTTAGGTAAAACTTAGATTACCTTTCCACAAAAATATGAAGATAAAATGCCAAATATGCCAGGCTGGAGGGAGAGAGATTTTAGCTTCCCTTTTAGAGGCAGTATAATGACTACCTTGAAGTTTTACAGTTTTTATTTAGATGGGCACTTGGTTATTTTAATTTAAAAAAGAAAAACTTGTATTTAAGAGGAAAGGGTACCTACTCTGTTCTTGGTATTTGCAGTTTGAGAATGCATTACCAGTTGACCATGATGGTGTCTACACTTCCATCATGGAGCCAGATAATGACTACTCATCAGCCAGGTCTGACTCAAATATCATTCTCTCTTTCTTCTTTTCTTATGCTTGCTTGTTGAAACAGTGTTTCTATGTAACCTATGCAGGCCTCAAAATCACTATGCAGCCCTGGAACTTACAATAATCCTCCTTCTTCTGCCTTCCAAGAACTTGGATATGTATTCTAGGTGTGCACCACCACAACCAGATCAAATGTCACTCTCTTAATTATGCCCACTCATACCCATCCATGCTCTAAGACAGGTTCCCACATCCTAGTCCTCAGCACACTGTAGCTTATGACTGTGAAGTGATTTCTAATGATAAATTGATAAGTATTTATCTTCCCCACCAGATTGTACAGTCCAGGAGCATACATAGTGTTTCTTACCAATAGAGCCCCAAAGTATAGCAAAGTGATTGGCAGAGGACAGGTTTTGAGTAATATTACAAATAATAAAATGAATACATGAATGAATACACAGGTGAAAAATGAACAAATGTTACAGAAGCAAACAGAGATGAGTTCTTATTCCTTCAACCCAGCCACTCTTCTTGGACCTTGCTCTTATTTCTTAGAAGACAAGGAGGATTTCTTAAAATGAGAGTTTAGCAATCTCACATTATCTATAAACACTCGCTCCGTGCACATTGAATAAATGCATGAATGATGCATGTATGCACCTGAGATAGCACCATGATTATGAGAAATTTTATTGTATGAATTAACTGTGGAACAAAAAGAAGAATGATATTTTGTGAGTTGAAAAAACCTTGGTAACATTACTGAAATAAAAGGAATCCAGGATTAGAGCCTGAGAGAGCACAGCTGAGGAGTCAGAGGCAGATGCTAGCATTAAGAAAAGCAAAGATCCCACAGAGTGAATGGTTAAATGCAAAACTCCGCAGCTGCCTCTTTGGGAAACATGGTGTTGTTTCATCTGTTCATCTGATCGAAGACTCTGATTCAAGCAGGTGGGCTGCTCCTGGTGCTTACAAGAGCCTGTGCTTGTTCATTCACAGACTGACTGCAATGCAGTATTCTGTTGACTGCAAGTCCTATGCCATTTGAATATTGGGGGATCAGTTTAGTGGGCTGCCAATAGTATTTTAAAAAAATGAAAAAGACTTTTAAAAACACTCTATTTTCTCTCTTCTCTTCCCAGCAAGATGAGTCCCACAAATTTTCTCTCATTTTTCCATATCTATATATCTGTGCTAGGCTAGAAGAGAAAATGTGGGTCATGTCAATATCTAGAACAGTTACAATTAGAATAAGTTCCAAATGGGAAAGCTAATCTTGATTCTATAGTAAGGTACCTCATCAGTATAAACTTTGTTTTTCTCTTCTATGTTTAATGACAGAATACCCCATGGGTAATGCAAAGTCAGCAATAGTCTAGGATGTATAAAATGTAAACAGTAACGTGAAACAATAACCAATACTTATTAAGATCTTTCAATTCTGCAATTATTGAAAATCTTTCAACTACAAATCTCCATCTCTGGAAGTTTTGTTATATTGTATCCTTCCAATTGTAGCATCTAAAAATAACACTGTCCTTGTAAGTGACTGTGAATATTAAATAGTAGAAACATAATATTGATTCTAAACTTCTTGAATCAAGACAGCCCATTTATACGGAAAAAATAATTTAGTCAACTCTCTATTCTCCATCTATAATGGTCCTTCTTGTTGTAGTATTTATTTTTATTCACTGTGACCAGGGAAAAAGATAGGTGTGTTGTCAGGTCTCATGGGATAAGGGGCTGAAGTTTGTTTCCTCTGATCAAATCCCTACACCCAGCTATTACTAAGGACAAATGATGAACAGACTCGCCAAAATGAACTGAACAAAACAAAGCCTTTTAAGCTTTAAAGAAGTCATGTGGTATCTAAAGTTCAACCGTAGACACTCTGGGTTAAAATACTTAAAAAGTGACCTTTTGGAAATTAAGTCCTTGTGCCCAGGAACAATTCTTGGGGTTTGGAACATCTTCCCAAAACAACTTTTTCATTCTGTAAAGGAGAAACGAAGCCCTGTGATTAGAAGGATGCTCAGAATGAAAATACATTAACAGTTACCAAAGCACACAATCAGCATGAGCCCACTGGATCACCTCAGAAGGACCAAGTCCATATTCACATTTGGATCCACAAAGTGTTCACTAAATTTCTATGAAGACCAAATTAATAACCAACCCTTTCCTACTGAAAGCTGTGTGCCAGGCACTGTATTTACTCCCTTGCATACGTTTTCCTTAGAAAATATTTTAAATGGCCATCACATGGGCTATCAGAAACAAGCCCACTTGTTACAGTCCCACCCCAGTCATTCAGCTAAAGCAGGAGACCAGACTGCAATGTCTTCCCTCCTTCATCTGATAGAGGACTAACACTTCTATGGATGTGTGTGAGGATCCCTCATGAGCTGGGTGTCTCAGCAGAGTGGTGTGGCACCCATACAGCCACCAGGGAACTCACGGCCATTTGTCAAACCAGATACCCCAGAGCTTTCTGAAGCACTGTCCTCTGAGAAGCAGAGTGCTGCCTGCTGCTATGATGGACTGTGCTGATCACCATGAAACATCTACTTTTAAGATCTTGTGATCTCACTAAAATCTTCAGTCCAGATTGCAGAGCTCTAAAAGCCATTTTTACCAAACCTAAGAATAAACTGCCCAGGATTTTCTGTTACATGTCAGCTGATTCCTGGATGCATATAAAGAAAAAAATTTTAAAGCTGAATTCTGCCTTCAAGTTTATGGTGTCCTATCAAGATGAAAAGTCATTGCTCAAAACAACCTTTCCATTTGTGTCCTGTTAATTGTATATGGAATTCATACAAAGACATTTTCAACACTTTTATACTTATTAATATTATGAGCTAGGCTCTATGTCAGACTTTGAACATATTTAAGTTACACTCTTTATGGAAAAAGCCCTTCACACCAAGTGTAATACCTCTGGTGTGAGATTAACAGTGTTCCGAGCAGCAGGACACAAGAAGAAATAATGATGGGCACAATCACATACAGCCCTGCGTCAGTCTGCCGCTTGTCCATGTCATCTGAAAGAGACACAAGTCAAGCCATCAGCCACTTGAGGAGACTACTCTGTCAAATCATCGACAGAACACATACTCTAATTTCACCAGAAGTCTGCATTGCCTCCAAACATATAGAAACTTATAAATGAAGACATTAGGAGCTGCAGAGGGGCCTCAGGGGTTGAGAGCACTGGCTGCTCTTACAGAGGGCCGGGGTTCAGTACCCAGCACCCACATGGCAGTTCATGATCATCTATCACTTCAGTTTCATGGTATCTGACATCTGATTCCCTCTCTGGCCTCTGGAGGTATTAGAAATGCATTTGGTGCAGTCACGTATGTTCAGGCAAACAGTCATCCATGTAAAAATTAAAATGAGTAAGTATTTTTAAAGGAGAAATAAAAATGCATCGTGGCCACATTACTAGTTGTTTTAGAGTATTGTTCTTGAAATTTAGCAAAACATTATTTTAGAAGGATGTACTTGCCAGGCCTCTCCATCTAGTCATTTTGAAAACTCTCTGAGTCAGAGCACCAACTAAAGTTGCTGTGATGAACTCGCTGCCTTCTCCTGCAGAGCCTGTGGCCAACACCTGCCAATCTTCATCCGTGCAGCTCCAGGCACACCGGTGGTGTCCTTGCTGCTTAAGGCCTCGGGGCCTTTGCAAGAGCCGTTCTGGCCCTGACGTTCTTGCTGCCGCTTCAGCCACATGTTCCGTCCTCAGGGCGTGCCACCGTCCTAGCTTGCAATGTCTTCCCTTCCAGTCTCAGAGCTTTGCTCAAGGGCCAGAGCCCACAGAAAGACCATCTAGCCATCCTTTCCTCACCAAATTTTTAGCTCCCTGTCTCCATCTCACGTGCATTTGCCGTCAAGGCACTGCCTTTCACCTGGCGCTGTATCTTAAATAATGTATTCACTGACCATCACTGCCTATACGGCACTGAGACCTAAGTCCCACAAAGGCAGGCTTCTGTTCACCGCAGGCTTCTGTTCACCGTTTTGTCTTCGGTCCTTAGAACAACGTTCAACACATACTTGTTGAACAATAGTTACTACTCTAGAAGCAACTCAAATGTTTCCCCTTTGAAACTGCATTATTGGGTTGCTTGGATTTAACAACTTAAAAAGTAACAAAAAGTTAAAATATGGGTGAGTGCAGTAATCCAAACAGAATGTGCTCAGTGAATTTAACTCTACAGTTTCAGACAAGAAAAAAATTTTTTTTTTTCCTTGAACAACTCAGTGGCACATCTCAGATCTCCCCTGACCCTATGAGGAAGAAATTAGTCTGGTGATAGCATAGCATAGGAAATATAGAGACAGGAAAGTAGGGCCTCCGCAGGGAAAGCATTTACCATGCAAGTCTGACGACCTGAGTTCAAAGCCCCAAACCTGGAGTACAAGGAGAGGGGTCCCAGGGGTTGTCCCCAGGCCTCCACTTGGGTATGGGGCACATGTACAGAGCATCACTGCTAGCACATGCGTCACACACAAATACTTTTTTTTTTTAAAAAAAAAGAAAATGCATTTATTTTTTACCTTGGGTGAAACCATTAATTATCTTTGGTTTTCCAACTCCTTCCATAAATACTGGATAAAGACTAAACTGATATTTCTCGATGGGAATGAAGTTATCTGAAAAGCAACAAAAAACCAGTAAAATTTCATGTTAACTGAGAAGGAAACCTACATAGAAAAATACAGGCTATGCTGTCCCAACACTACGCATTATTTATGGATAGGCTTGATGGCTAAAGGGATTTCAGAAATAACCTAACCACTCCAAATTTTACTAGTAATGATACTGATTTTCAAATAAGTGTTCAAAACTCTTCCTCAGACACAAATGACTTGTTTTCCAAGGGCATGCTTCAGTGAGAGCTGAATGTGTTCAAGTTCAAGCTATTTTCTCTTCTGCTCCTGAATTTCCTACTCTGGGATAGCAGTGTTCTCCCTTACTCCTATCATCCTCAGGGTAGGGAAAACTCTCTTCCTATGTGAATTTAGCTTACTTACTCTTCCCATTCAAAGTAGCCTGCAGAAGTCACACCAAAAAAATGGGATGGAGACTGAGGAGTTCTCTTGTGCTATCTGGGGATCTCAATAATGTGGAGAATGGTGATCCCCACAGCAAGGTTCGGGACAGATCTGGCAATGATTCTCACAGATACCAATGACCCATGACCAGCGGCCCATAAGAGGCAAAGCTCTGAGGAGCCTGAATCCATCATCTCTCTGACTTATAGGATGGAGTAATCACCTAGAGCAGTGATCATGAACTTGGTTCCCTGCTCATAATTTATAAATACATTTAGCCTGAGGCTAAGTTCAAGGTACTGGGAATGAAAGAAAAGTGCGGGTCCTCTACATGGTATAAAAGCAGGGCAGCCCCCAGCCTCCCTCCTCAACCTCCTTCTGGCTCTGCTGGAGCTGTTGCTCTCCTATACACTTGCCTTTCAGGGTAACTGGCCACTCTTGGAGGGATTACCCTGACCTAGGTCAGGAGGTCCAAAGTCCTCAGACTTCCAGCCTAGCTCTTCTACTCACTGCTTAGTGACATTATAATTGGGGACTGAGGTGGGGGCAAGGGGGGGGTTGGCATTAGACCTTAGAAGACATTAAAAAGTAAGATGGAAGCAACATGAACTCAACTAAATAAATACCTTAGGTACACTTTAGAATAAAAGGCTATACGATCATCACATATTCTGACAGAAAGGGTTGGGGAGAAGGTTTAGGACATCTGATTGCATCTGTGTAAAACATAAAAGAAAAACGCTCACAGAAATACAGCAAACATTCTGACCGGGCAACACGACTATAATTCAGTTGGCAGCACTTGGCGTCTGAATTTGGAAGTCGTCATTATCCACTTTATTATCTAAATTCCCAATCTACAGGGTCGCACTGACCCATAAAGAGTACTGGAAACATACCGTGGATGTAATACTTCTTAACATTCGAAGGGATTCTAAGCCATTTCATCCCATCGTCTTCATTAAGATTCTTCCATTCAATCACCAGGTATAGTAGATTGTAATCCCCAGGCGACAGCGTCCAGGAAAGGATCACAGAGCTGCTGCTCAGGGGGTAAGCACTGAGGGACTCCACGGCACTCACTGAAGGGAAGAGCAGGAATTTATTTTAAATTCAAGATTAAGGAAAATTTACTAACGACCTTGAGAAATAACCAGATGCAGGGAGAAGGAAGAGGAGGCAGCCAATTTCTATCAATGTCATGGAGCTCATACCATCAGAATGCAGGAGTTAATGACGTGGAGAAGAAAAGCGATTCTACTCCAAATCTAAACATGGAATTTTGGTCGGGTCCAAATTGTTCTCAGCTGGAATCACACACAGCCTATTAACCAAACTCTCCAATTCCCACACACTTCTCTCTCCCACTGGTGAGTGACATTTAAAAAAAAAAAAATGCCCTCCACAGAGTCCCTTCAGAAAGCCTTGGTAGATTTCTGCATCTGAAGAGACCATTCCTATCATGCCTGCATGGCCCCACAGGCCATGTCTCAACCCACTTTCGGCTGTGTCTGCTGTCCATGCAGAAGCCACCCTGATCTTCCTGCATCTCTTTCCCTGAGCTGTGAAAACTTGACTAGGTATGCATCTACTGGAAGTTAAGACTTCTCCACCCCAAATCTGTGGGAGGAAATTTGGTTCCTAATCAATATCATTTCCTCAAGATGGTTTCTCTGCCCTCAACCCAAGATCAAGTTCCAGTTTACTTTCCTTCAAAAAATCATATTCCTGGTGAGACATGAAGGCGTATGCCCTCAATCCCAGCATTAAGAGGTTCAAAGAAAAGCAGATCTCTATGAGTTCAAGACTAGACTGGTCTGTATAGTGAGTTTCAGGCCAGCCAGGGCCATATAATGAGACCTTGTCTCAATCTCCAGGACCCACATAGAGGTGGAAGGTGAAATCAAGTCCACTAAGTTGTCCTCTGACCTCCACACGCATGCTGTGGTACGGGTGCCCATAAATACACATCACACATGCACACCCACAAAGATATAAGCATACTAATATGTTTTTAATTAAAAATAATAAAGTATCTTAAAAAATTTAGAAAGTGCTCTGAACTTTAAAAAGGGGATAGGAAGCAAGGCCGTGGCGGTGCACACCTTTAATCCCAGCACTCGAGAGGCAGAGTCAGGTAGATCTCTGTGAGTTCAAGGCCAGCCTGGTTTACAGAGTGAAATCCAGGACAGGAACCAAAAACTACACAGAGAAACCCTGTCTTTAAAAAAAAAAAAAAAAGCGGGGGTGGGGTGGGGTGGGTGGGGGATAGGACATAGTCAAACAATAATCAAATACTTCATGAAGGAAGTGACCCTTGGAAATGTTAGTAAGTTGGTAGAGACACCAGAAATGAGTATTTTTCCATTTAAAATAGTATCTTTGATACAAAGTACAGATTAGAAGCTCCTATTGAAAACGGCTCTTGGGCCAGCAAGGTGGCCCTGCAGGTAAAGGCACCAGCCACCAGGCCTGACAACCTGAGTTAGATCCCTGGGGACCTACATGGTGGAAGGAGAGAACCAATTCTCACAAGTTGTCCTCTGACCTCCATACATACTCTGGCATGTGCATCCCCCCCAAAATTAACTAACTTTAAAATATATTTTATAAAAGAAAGTATCAGTGCTCCTAATATTCAAATATAACAACATTGATTAAAAGGTGAGACGTTCACTACTCACAGGAAATAAAGTCCACTTAGTTTCCAACTCTCAGCAACTAATTTGAGTCTACTCACAGGAAATAAAGTCCACTTAGTTTCCAACTCTCAGCAACTAATTTGAGTCTACTCACAGGAAATAAAGTCCACTTAGTTTCCAACTCTCAGCAACTAATTTGAGTCCATATAGCATGTCATGCAACTATTAAAATATATAGCATTTTATATACAAGTATACACTATAAATATACTACATGTAAATATATACTATAGTATATATAGTATGTACTTATAGAATACTACATATAATAAAATATTAATATTATATATAAAATGTTCTACATTCTAATTTTTAAAGAGAGATAGTGACTCACCTCCATTGCTTCAAAAGGGTTAAGTATTAGATTTACTAGAATATTCTGTTGCAGATGAACAAAACTGGTTTGCAATGTATTTTTCACACAGAGAATAAGTATGAAAATATCCTGGACTGCTCAGAGGACGATGTAGACAAGAAGGACTGTGCAGAGGTTACATACTAAGAGGGGGTACCCAAGCCCAACAGATACACTGCAGTGCCGCCTCCACACCTGAAGCCCAGGGAACATCACGGAAGAGGCCAGGGAAGAGACCGGAAGAGCCACAGGCTTGGGACATCTACTCTTAGAGAGTGTCCCCTAGACATGAACTCTAAACAACATCGCTGCCTGAACAAGAACAGCATAATGTCAGCACCAGTTGACATGCCAACGTGGACAGAGGAAACTCCACAGGGTCCCAATGAAGCGCTCTCTAACAGTCCCAAGAATGGCAAACATGGCTCTGGTGGATCTTGCCCACCAACCTTCCCTCTGCCTTGCTAAACCACTAGATTACATTCCTAAAGCTAGGCCCCAAGGTCTCTTCCCTTATTTGGCCACTTCCTTATGCCTGACTAAAACTCCAAGGTCCAGCTATCAAAACACCGAGGTCCAGCAATCAAGATCTATTACTTGGCCACACCGGCTAACATGTCCAATCAGGACTTGCCAACTCATCCTACCACGGACTTCCCCTTTTTCTCCTTAAAAACCATTACAGCAGAGCCACCTGTTGCTCTTTGTCCAATTCAGAGGCAGTCCGCCCAGCCCCCAGCCCCTCTTATCCCTCTGGGGTAATGAATCTCCTTTGTGCTGAGAACTTGGTGTCTGAGTGTGTTCTGTGCTAACTCCGAGGCCCCCTACACCCACCCCTAGATGAAGATGGTGATCAGTGGACACTCAGAGAGGAAGAATCAGGCTCCTCTGTGGATGAGTTCCCTCACACGTTGACTAATCCCAAGTGGTCATCCCTGGACACATGGACATGTGAGCAAAGCTAAAGAGACTCAGTAAATTACATCGATGTGTGCTTAATATTTAATAATAAAGAAGAGATCACGAATTTTAAAAGGGGGTACAAGGGGGAATTGGAGGGAAGGAGAGGAGCAGGAGTAATGTAGATGCAGTGCTACACAAAAAGCCATGCAAGCAGGCCACATCATAATTTAATAGTGAGTCTAAAATAATAGTGATGATGATAATAACAATAGTAGGATTCTGTATGGACCACCATAAAAACAAATAAAATAAACAAACAGGGCAATCACCTATTTCTGAGCATCTCTTACCTTTACTCATTGACCATGAAAATGTCAGATTAAAATTTGCAAGTGAAGCACCGATGGAATTGACGGCCAGAACTGTAACGGTATGCACTTGTTCTGCCCACAGGAAAGTGAGATTGGTCTGATCTCCCGCATCTTCTGACCATGTCCCATCGTAGGCAGTATGGTGCTGCACCACATACCTCCTCACACTGCACAGGGAGTCATTTTTCATCAGGGGCTGGAGTAAACACAAAAATGAATTAGCGCATGGACCACAGCGTTTATACCAACTGAGCTCGTAGAGTTCTGATTATATTCCCACCAGGAAGCAGGAGTTAGATCAAGGCAGCCACTGCTCAATCTAGTGCTAAGGTGTTGGAGAGGGGTGGGATTGAAACTGTATGAGATGCAGGAGGCATGGTCATATCTAGGAGTCGTGCAGCACAGGGACATTATTTTCTCCCTCCTCATGGTTTTCTTTGGACCCAGAGACTAAATTAAAGGGAGTGAAGTAAGAACACAGTCAGGACATTTGAAATATGAAAAATACATAGGAAATACTAAGAATGTCCACCCTATTGTAGAGAAAGACTGACGAGAAGTTTCCTCATCTAACTAGCAAGCAAAGGCTCAGATGGTTATCATCACTTTGTGAACCCAAGTAAATCTGCCACTGCTCTCCTTAGGATACGCTTGGAAGATTATCTAGAGCAAGAGGAGTTTTTACAAACAAAACAAAACCTTGAAAGTTAACAAATAACAGAAGCTATTCGGGCATTTCTGTCCCATAGCTTTCTATAAAAAAAATGATACTGTGTTATGAAAGATTCCTGCGTAAAACACATGCCAGCTCCATGCTCTTCCATTCTGAAGAGTCCAAGAATACCCTTCCCTTACCAAATAATCACCTTTACCTATTGCAGGGAAAATTAAATGCTACCAATCCCTTAGAAAGCTACAAAGATCTGTACTTTACACCACAGATTAGAACAAGTGTCTCCAAGTGAAAAGTGGCAGAGACACACTCAAAAAGATGCATGTATTCTGCAGGGGGTGGAACCTTGTGGGCAGTAGTAGGGTGGAAGTAAGATATAAGAAAAAGTCTCTAAAAAATACCAGTTTTATTTCATCTGAAAAACCCATGTCATTTTGGTATGTTAATATTTATTTTTTCAACCAGTAGTAAAAAAAAAAAAAATCAAGGATACTGAAAGATGCTCACAGCTCACCTGTACATTTACTGCTCCAGCCCTGAAAGGAGCATTTCTCTCAGTCCTGATTTTTTTGATGGAATAATAGTGTTGGAAACACTCTTTCCTCTTTGAACTGTCTTAACTTTTAGACCCACTTAGCTTAGAAAAATCAAGAATATATGCCTGTATACTGACCCCTGTACATATACATATCTCTAAATATGTCTATAAGAACCCACCTGTGCTTAACATGAGCTGATATTGATCTCTAACTCCAATGAATGATGATGAGAATCGTTCTGGCTGATTCTCTTCCTAGTTTGGAGCTTCCTGAGAGAGCAGAGAAAAAAAAAAACACCTGTGCTCTGCCCCATCCACCTTCTTAATTTTTCCATTCCAAGACAGACATACACTGACATAATAACTACTAGCCTACATCCCTGGAAAAAATGCACAACTCCAAAATATTTATGTAGCATCCTCCATCTTTCACACTTTAGACTCATTTCTAAAGTTAACTAAGCCTTTTCCCTTGCTACCTGCACTGAGGTAATTTCATACACTTGTGATAGCCATAACCTAATCTGTATTTCATCCTCGAATCCTCCAGTCTATGATTTTTTTTAAAAAAAATCTGTATACTTTAGCGTTTGTTCTTTGTATATGAAGTTTCGGGTTTGGAAAAATGTGTAGTGTTGTGTGCCACCATTTCATTTTCTACTGAAGAGTCTCATTCTGTAACAATGATTATGAATACAGTGGTCTGAATAACTCATGTGCAAGTTTTCCTGTAGAGAAAGCTTTTTAAGTCACCCAAATAAGCATCCATGAGCACGATGGTCCATCAAGGCTACATTTAGCTTACAAAATGGCTGCACAAGTTTGCATTTCCACAAGCAGCAAACCAAGTTTCTTGATGCTCTGTATTCTCAATTAGCAATTTCAAATGTCTTTGAAAAGAAATCAGCCATTTTAATAGATGTGGAATCATACCTCGTTGCTGTTTCACTTTGTAAATCCTCCACAATGGCAAACAATGTTGAGAGGCCTCTCATGTTTTTATTTGCCACCTGTGGGTCTCCTTTGGTTAGATATGTAGACCAGATATTTGGTCTATATTTTTGTTGAGATATTTGTTTTCTTATTGTTGAAGCTGCAGCACCCTAGCTGCAATGATCTTTTCATTCTCTTGACAGTCTTTCCCAAGTCAGAATTTATTTTAATAAAGTTCAACCTACTAACACTGAAAAACTAAAGAACAGTAGGCTTCATGAGATTGATGACGTCAACGCTTTGGCCACCAAACCTGATGACTTGAGTGTGAATGCCAGAGCCCACATGGTGGGGACAGAGAAGCACCTTCTGTAAATTGTCCTCTGACCCTGCACATGTGTCAGGGCTACTCCAGAGTCCACACACCCCACAATAAACAAATAAACAAGTGTAGAAATCTTTTTTTTTTTTAATTTTGAATGTCATACCTCAAATGATGGGGACAGGTCAGAGACATGGCTCAGTTCAAGGAGGCTCTAATGACTGAAGGAGGAAAGGTGAACTATGTAATAAAATAGATGTCATAAGACAGTTCAGACTCAGCATCTCTCAACCTGGCATCCAGTGGTGCTGCAATCCAAAACTCATGAAGTGCTAACATGATACCTAAAAAGTTTCAAATCTGTGAGCATTTTGAATTTCAGATGTTTGATTAGAAATGTTTTACTGCTAAAGAATGCACAAATATTCCAAAATCCAAAAAATGCTCAGCCCATATTTGATTATTACCCATAAACAAATATTCACAGTCCTCACTGATATAAATAACTAGATAAATAAATTTGATGCAACATAAAAGTCTGCCACGAGAAAGAATTCTAAGTCATTGTTATAAATTCTCCACTCATAAGCAGAAATTTAGCTCTCATTCCTCAAGCAGTAGCTTGTCACAGTGACTTCATTCCAAAAAGTACAACATAGAAAGGGAGAGAGTCACTGTATGGTGAGGGGCTACACAGCTCCCAATGCCATCTTAGCAAGAGTCACCTGTCCTGAGGTAGTATGTGGACTTAACCTAACATGACAAAATGTTGCTTAAAAATGTATACTTTGTACCCCAACCCCCATTTGGCTATCTAACCATTAGCAAACATCAGAATATTTGGGAGAAATTATACAAAATTCCAGCTTGACAGGAATCAGTTATGAACTTTAGTTACAATGATGCAATTAATTAATTGCAACAAATGTATCATATTAATATAAGATGTTATTCATAGAGAAAACAGGGTGTGGGAATTTGAGGAAATTCTCTATGTTCTTTGCTATTTTTCTATAAGTCTAAAACTACTCTAAAAGAAAGTTATTGCAAAATATTTGTTTACACTGTAAAGATGTGTCTCTGCCTAAGGTACCTTGTGATTCTTTTAATAAAGAGCTGAATGGCTAATAGCTAAGCAGGAAAGAATAGGTAGGACTTCTGGGAAGAGAGAGGAACGCTGGGAAGAGAATCTAGGTATGCAGGAGACACCAGGGAGACACTGAAGAGGTCAGACCTATGGTACATAGTAAAGGTAGCTGAGTCACATGGCAGAATGTAGATTTAAAAATATGAGTTAATTTAAGTTATAAGAGCTAGTTGACAATAAGCCTAAGCTAGAGCCAAAATTTCATAAATAATAATAAATCTCCATGTCATTATTTATGGGCTGGCAGTCCAAAGAAAGTCTGACGAAAAAGCATACTACAGAAAGTTTTACATGTAAAAATACCAGAGAAATAGTTTTTATTTACTTTTAAAAATACATTTAGTTATTTGTTTATTTATTAGTGTGTGTGTGTGTGTGTGTGTGTGTGTGTGTGTGTGTGTGTGTGTTTCTGCACACATGTGGAGGTCAGAGTACAATGGTGGGAGTCAGCTCTCCCCTTCCACCGTGCAGGTCCCAGGGATCAAACTCAGACTCATCATGCTTAGTGGCAAGGTGTCTTTATGCCTGAGCCACCTTGCCAGAAATTCAGAACTTGTTTTCCATGCACGTACACTTACCCTGTAACTCCGAGGGACATGCAGCACATAGACTGCATACTCTTAGGAAATCTTACTCGAGCTTTAGACCCTGGATTAGGGAGGTGATGTGCTTTGGCTCCTGAATATCTCCCCCAAAGCCTGGTGATAAATGTTTACCACCAGCTGTGCTGCTGGGAAGAGGTGCAAACTTTAGGAGGGAAGGCCTAGTGGAAAGGAGTGAAGTCATTAGGGGGGATTCCCTCCAAAGGCATGTTGAGGTCCTTCTCTTTCTCCTTGTTCTCTTTCATGTCCCTGCCGCCATTGAGGGAGAGTCAGTTTCTTAAGACATGCACTCCCACCATGATGGTCCCAAAGCAACGGCACCAACATAACATGGAGCTTTGAAACCCTGAGCCAAGGTAAACCTTTTTTTCCTTATAAGCTGTTTGTCACCTGGACTTTGTTAGTGATGCAACACAGAATAACACAGGAACCGGAATCACTGAACTACTGCTCAGGTTAGGAAACAGAAGCAACACAAGACAGAAACTGAGCTATTAAAGGGTAGTTCATCCAAGGAAAGGCAGTCAAGTACTTTGAGAGACCGCAGGCCAAGTAAAGATGTTATCCCTGCCCTCAGATCAACGCTGAGGAATCTATACCATTCTACTATCCAATACGACAGCCACTAGACACTTGTAAGCATTTAAGTTTAAGTTAATGAAATTAAGCAAAAGTGAAAATGTAGGTTTTGCATCACACTGGACACAACTCAAGCCATAAAGCCACAGGTGGTTGCCATGTTGGGCAATGCACACACAAAGTGTTCTTGCCATTATAGAAAGTTCTAACAGGCAACATCACTGAGGAAACATGGGAGTCAGGCATAAGGTAACCATAGGAACTACCTAGAAAGAAAAGCCACTGTTCTGTTCAACGGCATAATGGAGTATGGGGAAGGAGAGAAGGTGACCGCATCCTGGGCCACAGGGTAGTTGTTAGAGCTACGAGGAGATAAAGACAAGCTACTTAGATTCTGTTCATGGCTATCCCTTCCAATGTCTGAGCAATGTCACTGCCCATCCCCCTCTGAAGAAATACTCACTATCTACCAAGTATTAATGTCAATTATTAATGATACTTTCAAGTAAAAATGTTGAAATGGAAGACAGTTTAGAAATTGCATTACCATGTAAACAAAATTATATAGTAACTGGAATTATAAACTAAGTGTACACAAGCTCTTACATACCCCAATTTTTAGATGGGAGTTGGTTTTAGATCAGGAAACTATTTCTTCCTTCCTTTCTTTCTTTTTTTTGTTTTTTTTTTCTGGTTTTTTTGTTTGTTTGTTTGTTTTTCGAGACAGGGTTTCTCTGTGTAGTTTTGGTTCCTGTCCTGGATCTTGCTCTGTAGACCAGGCTAGCCTCAAACTCACAGAGATCCGCCTGGTTCTGCCTCCCGAGTGCTGGGATTAAAGGCATGGGCCACCGCTGCCCGGCTAGGAAACTATTTTTAAACATACATTGACTTTTTTCCTCTTGGGGATTAAAATTAATTTCACATTTACATAATAAACATACCATTGCCTACCTCATGTATTTTATTCCTAAATCAGTCTTAAGCTTGATATCTACTCCTGAAATTATTTGTTTGGGATAGAAATCAACTCTTCAGAAGAATGGATGCTTTGGCATTTCCAAGTTTATCATCCATCATTATAGAAAAACTTGTCCTATGCCATCACACAGATAAAATATTCTCTTACATCTTATGTGCTTAAAGTGTTAAGGGAAATCCATGTTTATTTACATTGTTCAGGATTCAACTGAGAAAAAATTGTGGGCTTAAAGCAACACTATTTATCATTTAGTGATCTTACCCTGAGACAGATGACAAATATGAACCCCAAAGAGTCCAAGACTTTTCCAGAATAGCAATTCTACAATTATAATTAATAATTATTATAATTTTATTATATTATAATATAATAAATAAAAGCCTGAGAAAATAATAAAGGCTCCTGACTATGTCAGAACTCCAGATGCTTAATTCTGAGCAGCCACATCTCCAAAATGCATTAAAACATAAGGTTTGGGGTCATTTGTGAGATTAATAATGACAGGGTTATAAACAAAGAATTGACAAACATAACTTCAGGATAAAATAAAAGATAGAAATTGGAAATACCTTCCAAAGCAAGGTGACATTTCTCTCTTTTCTAGAAACATCGCCACTCATTATTCTCCAAAATTCAGGTCCTCTCATAGGAACTGCAAATGACAGGGAGCCCAAGTTGGACACATGTTCTTGGAAGGAAATGTTTTCAGCCACATTTGAAGCACACGCTTCTGCACTTTCAAGAAACATTAACAAATGTTCACAGACCTTTCACATCCATAACAAGTGTGTAGGCTGGACTGCTCCAATTACTCCAGTACCCAAGTCCATCCAACCGCCGGCAGCGTACCTGTGCCACGTAGACAGCACAGAGGTCCAGCACCGGCAGACTGGCAGACTTTGATTTTGCATCAAATACCTCGTGCGTCTGTAACAGAAGTCACACTGTCAACACACATGCCTCCTATGGGTCCTGAAGTGCTCTTTTATTTTAGATCTTAACATTATTACAAATGTAAGACAGAGTGATGTTCTATGGTCTCACTTCAAAAACACATGACATTTGGCCAGTCAGGAGAGTGCTGCCTCCCACATCTGGTCATTCCCTTGTTGTCTCATTGCACTAGCAAGGTCAATTCCAAACACACTCTTGCCCTACTGCTAATCCTTGTCCTCTAATCCTCTCTCCAACACAAAGACAAGAATTCAAAAATGGCGGTCAGATAGGGCCCTCCTCTCTAGGGGATAAGACTCACATACACCACAACTAATGTCATTGTGCTAATGACATCATCAGGGTTTCTTTCATTTCCATTCCTCGCAAGCTGCCCCTGCAAAACTGACACAAAACTTCTCATATACACACTCAACTCTATGATTGTGTAATAAAAGTAGCCTCTTTTGAGCTGGGCGATGGTGGCTCACACCTTTAATCCCAGCATTTGGGAGTCAGACAGATCTCTGTGAGCTCAAGTTCAGCCTGGTCGACAAAAAGAGTTCCAGGACAGCCAGGACTGTTACACAGAGAAACCCTGTTCTGAAAACAAAAAACAAAACAAAACAACAACAACAAAATGGTAGCCTCTTTCCAATTGTTCCATGCATGTACATACTGAAAGATATCAGAAGCTTAGGCAAAATGTGGGTCCCTGAACAATGAGTGTGGAAACAAAGGATGAAATATGGCAAATATTTCTTCAAAAAAGGCCTTCTCCAAACCTTTAATGTCATAAACTGGATCTCTACCCCAGGAAGGTGCAATGAGGCAGGGTTTCCCGAGCCTAGTTAGCCAGGCAATCTCTATTTCACAGAACAGTTCATTGGGAAAACACCCTGCCAAGTATGCTTTTGTTCCTTACAAGGACTTAGACTTTAACAGTCTAAGTCAGTGCTTCTCAAACTTCCTAATGCTGTGATCCTTTAATACTGTTCCTCATGGTGTGGTGACCCCCAACCATAAAATTATTTTCATTGCTATTTCATAACTGTAATTTTGCAACTGTTATGAATCATAATGTAAATATCTGATATGTGAGCCCTGGGAAAGCGGTTGCAACCCACAGGTTGAGAACCACTGATCTAAGTAATGAAAGTAATTACACAGTACAGGAGAGTATACTATTTGTGTACCAGTGACAGTGGGAAGCAATGAAACTCCGGAACATTAGAAGATGCTGTTGCACGTTTAACTCTCAGCAGCTGTGATTACTTACAAGAGACCTGCTTGAGGTTGGTTATGGAAGGGAGAGGGGCTCACAGGGCCCCCACTTATACCTGAGGGTTTCACTGTTGTTGCTGAGGGAAGATGAGACATGTTTTTCAGTGGTATAGCCACTGGTAAGCTGCCCATGTTCCTGTGGAAAAATTCCTTACCAAAGATGGAGAAAGATGATTGGCTAGGAAGAGGAAGGGGATCAGCGGTAGGGGGATAAGAGGTGGTAAGAGGGGGTGAATATGATCAGAATAATTATATATATATATATATATATATATATGTATGTATATAAAAATATCATAATGAAACCCATTATTAAGTATAATTAATGTATGTTCATAAAACACTTAAATAGCTTTTAGTAGTCTCAGCACTTGGGAGAGTAAAGCATCAGAAGTTCACAAGTTGAAGGCCAGCCTGGGCTACAGGGTGACGTTGAGGCTAGCCTGGGCTACAGAGAGACTCCAATTTACAGAGGGGCAGGGGAAAGGAGAGAGAGAGAGAATGGAGAGGAAAACAATTAGAAGTAAAAAGTACCTTCCATTGTATTTCTTTTCCATTTAAGCCATATCGAATCTGGAACTGAAGGTTATTCTCTGGAAAGACAGGCTTTTCCCAAGATATTTTTAATAATCCAATGTTTATAGTAATCTCTGCTTTCACACTAGATGGAGGTAGTGGTTTTACTAGAAATTTAAAAATAATAACATATAATAGTAACTTAAACAGCAATATTAACCATCTTTATACTTCATATCTATAAAGTAATAGTATCCTTTTGAAAGCTTTCTCATTCATTGACTCATCCCTACAGCTTTGTGTAATACATAAGAAAAATGATTATCTCCACTTTGTAAGCACAAAGGTTCACTGAAAACCTCATCAGTACATTATCCATGTCACTTTGCAAGATCAGAGAATACACTGACTGAGCTATTAGAAGCTTGCTTTCTATAATCTGAGGAAACAGATTTTTTTTTTTTAGATTTATTTATTTATTATGTATACAGTATTCTACCTGCATGTGTCCCTGCAGGCCAGAAGAGGGCACCAGATCTCATTACAGATAGTTGTGAGCCACCATGTGGTTGCTGGGAATTGAACTCAGGACCTCTAGAAGAGCAGTCGGTGCTCTTAACCACTGAGCCATCTCTCCAGCCCCCGGAAACAGATTTTAATAAGCAGAAAATAGAGGCAAAGGTGACTAAGATCACAAATGATTTTAACAAAAAATTAAGACATGTTTAAAGATGAAATACATAAAAATATAGAAATGCACAGAAGATGGTTACCTTATAACAAAGACTATAGAGGTCCAGCCCCTTATAGTCTTTTCCCAGAGTTCTAGAAGAGACACTACCAGCAGTGAAAAAATTGATCTGAGGGATGTCGAATGAACCTAAGCTCTTTAGTCTATTCACTTTATTCTTCTCAGTCAATTCTGTCTACACAGCTTCGTTTCTGTTCTCATACTTAGCTCCTCTCTATCCCTTCTTCTACTGTTCTCCCATTGTTCTCTTAGTTCTTTCCATCTTCTCTCAAGTTTCCAGTTTATATACACATACAATCAGCAATTCTCTGACTGCACCATTTCTGGTAGGGTGGAGCAAGTGTACTTGGTTGCTAGATAGCCTGTGTCACAGCTTGATGCACCTGGTATGTAAAAGCTCTTATCTTTGAGTTCATTGTTAAAGGGGAAATCTTTTAGAACTAGGGATACTACTTGGGCTATGGGAGAAAGGTTTAAGCTTAATTTGGACAAGAAATAAAGTTTTGAACCTAATATCCGCCTGGCCTTGGCAGTTATCTCAGTAAGATATTTACCTTATCTCAGGAAACTAGCAGGTAGTCTGAGTGCTTATTTGTCTGCAGTCTGTCCTTGTATGTTTGGCAAGTATCTCAGATAAAATACTTTTGTCTGGAGATGGCCCTAGCTGGATGCTTGCTAATGAAGATAACTACAGAAAGGCAGACTTCTGAGTCTAATGCTAAAAAGGGGGAACAAAGGCCTGGGGATGTTATCCAAATACCCCAATTGTATAGGGGAAATTGTGCCCAATGAATGATCAACCACACTGGTAGAAATTCTTGGGAAAAGAATCAAATGGGAAAGCTACAATAGCACACCAGAAAGTCATTGCAGGATACAGCTAACATATTGAAAAGCCAGTATCACCAACACTCCTTGAGTTTTGGCTTTATCCTCTGGAAGAGTCCTACTCTTCCAGATATTAGCTTTTGTCATTGACAGCTGAATTCCTACTTCATATTTCTGTGGCTCACAGCAACCCTGTTTCTTCTTCCTCTTCCTCCCTCCCCTCCTCCCTGCCCCCTTCTCTCCATAAGGTCTCACTTTGTAGCCCTGGCTGGCTTAGGACTCACTGCATAGATCAAGCTGGTCTTGAACTCACAGAGATCTGCCTGCCCCTGCTTCCCTAGCACCGGGATTAAAGGTGTGCACCACACCCAGTTACCTTTCTTTTTTAACATCTTATGTTGCTGCTCTTGACCTAACTTTGACTTACATCCAGAACATGCATTTGCCCAACATCATCAATTTTTTCCAATGGAGGAGCATTTTTGCTAATAAGACTATAAGGAAACGTGACTTGTTGGACTAGAACCTGGAAGTCCAAGCACAGCTTAAGCCTCTAGATCTCCTAAGAGTGTCATGACAAGCATGACCTTCACAGTACCACATCAATCTTGTCTTTACTTGTGATGGATACCCCTAAATGGAGCAGTGGGTTCAGCTGCCATAGCAATGTGCTAAAATGCTTAAGTACTATACTTCCACACCAGCTGATAAGGAACTTTTCTCCTGAAAGCATCCCTTCCTATCTCAGATCCCCTCAGCCCCCCTCCACAGCTGCCATGAGCCAGCATCTAACAGGTTAACACCTGAGGTCTCTAAGATGATGGCCAGGATGTTCCTCTTCTTGGAAACTATTCTGATGGGTACCTCTGCCATTGAACTATCCAAAGAGAGATGGCTCTTGACTGGAATATGAAGTACACAACTCTAGTGACAGAAATGAATAGAAAGAAACCCACCAACTCATAAACTGAAAAACCACAGGTAGGGTGTTATGCAGGTGTTGTATGGGGGAAGATAGGAAAAGACTCTGAAGACATTCATGGTCTACTCCCAAAACCTGTTGGTTCCCTCAAGCTCTCTGTAAGTCAGGACCCTGTTGATTCATAGGGAACAAAGAATTCCTGGATTGGCACAACATAAGTGTTTGCCATCATTCTCCTCCCCCACGTCTCATTTCTAAAAACAACCACTGTGTAAAAAGCATGGCCTCTTGTTTGAGCAGTACTTTTTAATCTTTTAAGCAATCAACACTAGTACTTTAGACCATTCAGGACAAAACACCTTGAAATTGCCATTAGTATGTAGTTTCTCATGATCATTAAATTCCTCATAGCTCATGATAGTATCCATTGCTAACCCCATAAGAAGATCAAACTTTCATCTCTGGAAAAGGCCATTTCTTTTCAAGAAAGGAAATATCCACATTTGAGACAATGTAGGAACTGATTCTTTGGTTGTGGTTCAGTGGGTCACGTGGATGGATTCAGTGACTACCAGGAGGGAGTGGGCCCACAGTGATGCACACATCAGGGAAGTATGAAGAGCTACACACAGTTAATGGGTGGTACAGAATGTCTACGTGCCTAATCCAAGTTTTGATAACTGGGAAGAGGTGGAGCTGAGATTTACATCCCAAAGGTTCATTTCCACATTGCTCTCTTCCTAAGGCAAGATGAGCCTGACTTAAAATTCTTTAAGTTTTGGGAAGCAAAGCACCCAGGCTTATCCAGAGAACAATTGCTGGCTTCATGCTGTGCGTGACTGTTCATGGCCCTTTATTAGACTAGATAATTGACAAACAGAAAAGTACCATTTGCAGTGAAAACACAATGGAATCATGCAACAGAAGAGATAACCAATCAGTTGGGCATTTATATAGGAAAACAGATCTAATAACTAAAGTGAGTTCATCCTATATTTAAAAAAATAGATTCTACTTCAAATGTGTGCTGATTAATAGAAAAATATACTGATTTTTGACATAATTGCATAATATAATAATGTATAGCTGCTGTGGGATGGTCTGTATGTCGTGTGTTGCTGATTGGTCAATAAATAAATCACTGATTGGCCATTGGCTAGGCAGGAAGTATAGGCAGGGCAAGGGGGAGAATAAAGCTGGGAAATGGAAGGCTGAGGCAGAGAGACACTGCCAGCCGCCGTGATGACAAACAGCAGGTGAAGATGCCGGTAAGCCACGAGCCACGGGGCAAAGTATAGATTTATAGAAATGGATTAATTTAAGCTGTAATAACAGTTAGCAAGAAGCCTGCACGGCCATACAGTTTGCAACCAATATAAGTGTCTGTGTTTACTTGGTTGGGTCTGAGCGGCTGTGGAACTGGCGGGTGAGAGAGATTTGTCCTGACTGTGGGCCAGGCAGGAAAACCCTAGCTACATATAGCAACAAAATAAATAACCAGAAATGGGTCATTTTTCAAATATTCCACAGTGACTTTGGAAGAATACATCAATTCTCTCTCTCTCTCTCTCTCTCTCTCTCTCTCTCTCTCTCTCTCTCTCTCTCTCTCTCTCTCGCGCGCGCGCTTTTGATTTTTTGAGACAGGGTTTCTCTGTGTAGCTTTGGAGCCTTTCCTGGAACTCACTTTATAGCCCAGGCTGGCCTCTAACTCACAGAGATCTGCCTGCCTCTTCCTCTCAAGTTCTGGGATTAAAAGCATGCGCCACTACCACCCAGCTCATCAAATGCCTCAAAGGTTCTTTGAATCCTTTGATCTCAATACTTTAAAAAAAAAAATCTGTGAATATCATTACAGATCTCATCATCTTTGTCCATTTTCTTCACTTTCTTTAGATATTTCAAATGCCTCTTACGCAGCCTCACAAATTAAAGTCTTGAAATACGATTACTCAGCTTATATTATCCAAATGAAACTTTTAGAAATACAATAGCAAATGCTTTCAGAACTACACGGCAGGGATCCTTTATATGTCAGAAAATCCTCACAAAATTGCACTCACAGTGACGCATGCAGCTCAGGAAGTGTTGCATGGAAGTATCCAAGTGCTATGAATCTGTTATCCATATTTATAAACAAACCTGCTACAGAGAATATAAACATAGACTCAAGATGGTAATAAAAGCTCAAAACTAGAGATCTTCGTAAGGTTTTTTTCTTCAAAATCTAGCGTGATTGGAAAATGGCACCCAAATCTAAGGAAAATACACATACCTACGGAGTCGGGAAGGACACACGTTGGTGGAGAGTCAAGTGAACCTAAAGAATGATTGATCCTGATCCACATTGTGTAGCCAGATAATAGAAAGATGGGCTGGAAAACACATTCATAAAAGCCATCCCTCTGCAAGATGCAGCTTTTGGACTCGGATGCAGGATGAATAGACGGACTATCGGAACAATACAGGCTGCTCCTTAAAAAATATTTAAAAAAATATATCCAGTTAATGTGCAGTATTAATAAGAGGAAGAAGATATTTTAGAAATCTGATTTGTGGTTCAAAAGAAGAGATCATGTTCTCTGTCTAAAACCTGGGTGCTTTTATTAGAAAGGCACTCTTGAGCTCTTAGCTCTCTCCAGATCTTAGTCTTTCCACAAAAACAGTAACTATAAACATACTGCATGAGTAAGGAGTAGTGAAGGAAATGGGAAGAGCTGACAAGAAGGGAGGTTAGGAATAGAGTGCAGGACTGTGATCGTTACACCAGCCCACTGGTTCTCAGCCTTCCTAGTGCTACGACCCTTCAGAACAGCTTCTGGTTGTGGTCACCCCAACCATAAAATTATTTTATTCCTAATTCATAACTGTAATTTTGATACTGTTATGAATCATAATGTAAGTATTTTTTGGAGATAGAGGTTTTTAAGGGGGTCAGGACCCACATGTTGAGAACCCCTGTACTAGAGGCTTGCATCAGTGACATGACTGTAGCAATAAGGATCGAAAACAGGACTGAGGGTACTTCTATGGTGAGGGGAAAGCAGATTCTTCTCACTTTAAACAGTGAGTTAAATTCCAACAGAAAATGAGAATGTAACTGATGGGAACATTTGGCTTGATTGCCAGTTCCCTAATACTTTCTAGTCCAAACTGATGTAATGAAAATGCATGCCAAATCCTGATCCATACACGAATGGTCGTGAAATATATTACTCATTTTCTCAGAAATGAACGTTTTTTTTTTTAAACATTAGAGGTCTCAACCAACCTACTTCCTCACAGAACACAATGTGTTTCTTCTCTTTGAAATGGTCCTTCTGACACTGCTCTGAAAATGGTGTTTAAAAGACGAAAGCTGTGACTACTCTCTCAACAGGGATGAAAATGAGAAGGAAAAAGAAAATGAAAATACTAAAATCTTTTATTTACCATCTTTGTAATATTTTCTGCTCAAGGTTATCAGTGTGTGTGTGTGTGTGTGTGTGTGTGTGTGTGTGTGTGTGTGTGTGTGTGTGTGTGTGTTCAGATAACCAGTGGTGAGTGAGAGATACCAATGACAGAGGGGTTTGTAATCGTCACTGAATAGAAAATAGCAGTGCAGACACAGTGGCAAAGGTCTAACTTGGAACGATTAGCATCATCATCATGACAGCAATTCATTGATTACTCTAATGCAATGTTTCCTAGGAGACACTGTGTTACTTAACTGCAAAGCCATTAATTGCCAATAAATGCCATTAATTGCCCCCTACAAACCATATAAATCCTACCATTCTCTCCATTTTACAGACAACTTGGAATTTTACAGACAAGGAAATTAATATGTGGGAGGTCCAAAACCTCACTAAATATTTGTAGTTGACTACATGAGGATCCGGTGAATGTCAGGATGGGAAATGAGCCATGGGGCTTATAAAACGGTGTTCGACAAACATATGTTTGCATGTGAAAATGCACGAGAAGACATGTAATTAAAATGGCCTATCACGAACTTTCAATTGGTTTTAAAAATATTCATAGCACATAAGATAAAGACAATAATTTTCCCATTTAGGAAATATGGAAATTGCCATTTTTCTTCCAATATTGCAGAGGAGTCAACGCAGATCATGAGGGACAGAGTTTGGATCACAGGATTTGAGAGAAGAGATATATTTTCCGAGTTGAAATTTTAGATTTTAAGACTAAATGGGCACAAACTGAGATTCTCCATTACAAATTTTAATATCAGAGTATAGAGTAACAAACATACTGGACGGCTACCATGGGATCCTCTAAAAATAAGGAGGCATTTATCCTCTCAACAGAGAGACAATTTAGGACACATGCTATGTCGAGACAAGGGAAATACAAAGAAAGGTAAAAATAAATAAACACACAGTTCTCTTTGATGGAACGTATTACCCCTTATTAACCACTGTTTCATCCTAAATTAATTCACTCCATTCTAAAACACAGTCCCATCCTGTAGAATCTTGTCCCTTTGCCTCTTTTTCCTAAAATGCTGATCTTTAGCCGAATGATGTTCAACTTTCTTTTTAAGATTTATTTATTTAATATGTATACAGTGTTCTGCCTGCATGTGTGCCTGCAGGCCAGAAGAGGGCACCAGATCTCATTACAGATGGGTGTGAGCCACCATGTGGTTGCTGAGAATTGAACTCAGAACCTTTGGAAGAGTAGCCAGTGCTCTTAACCTCTGAGCCATCTCTCCAGCCCCCTCACCTTTTTTTGCTCAGCCTACCTTAGCCCATTCTCTGAGCCTAAATACACCACATATGAAATAAATCTCTTGCCTCTCTTGCATGTCACTCAAGAGGCAAAATGCAATCCCAGGAAACTGGTTGGCACACATGATAATATGAAGTTAAAATATATAGATAGATAGATATTTGCTATCATAATAGATTTAACAGAAAATCTAACTGAGCCACGCCCAGGGAAAAACAAAGAAGCAAACACAATACATACCTGTGATAATTCAACTGCACAGTGCTTCCCACAAGTGATTGGATTGTGCTGGGTGACCATCTGCAAGTCATTTTAGTTAAGTACCCATCAGTTTCACATGATATATTGATATTGACATCTATTTAAAACACATTAAAATATTAATATGAAGTACGAACACCAAAAATCATGAAAAACATTTTCTTGACATCTTTCATAGGGCTCTAACACAGTTCATGCCAATGAGCAATCTTGTGGGACAGAATAAACGAGGCCTTGGGGTGCTTACCAATCACATATAATTCAGCGTAGCGGTGATGGCACTCCTGCCCACTGCAGCAGTATACTGCGTCATAGGCATACTTCCCTCGAGGTCTGGTGGCCTTCAAGTTGGAAAAAGTCACTTGGCTAACGTGGTCATTCACAGCGCTGTACTGTATTTCGGGGATTTTCTCAGCTAGATTCATCCACCAAACTATCTGTTTTGAGGAAATAATTTGGTTTTCATTTTTGTAGATGCATTGAAAGGAGACGTTCGATCCAACACTTGTCAGAAGTTTGGGTGGAAAGTACATGACATCTGTAACACAGAAAGAAAGATGGGCATTCAGATGGAAACAGAAAGCATCATGGGAGCAGCCTGTACCACAGGAAAGAGATCCCCACATTCCTAGTTACCCTGCCAATAATCAAGTAAGTGCACTGAGAGACTGGCTGATGCTCTGCACAGCCCTGTAGAGCCCCAGTAATCCCTGCTCTCAAATGAAAAGCGCCTCCATGAACACCATCACAAGCTTCCAAACATGGGGCTTATTCATTACAACTATGTTTTAGCAACTGTCATTTTTCCAAGTGACAGGCAAAATTAGCTAAATGGAGCATCATCTATTTCCACCATGATTCATTTTCTACCAGACTATTTAAAACTGAATGTGTACATGTGGGCACATATAAGAATAAGTAAATAAATAAACGTTAAAGAAAAAAGAACGGCCAGAGAGATGGTTCAGCAGATAAAGACTCAAGCCTGATGACCTGAGTCTGATCCCTAGGACCCACCTGATGGAATGAGAGAACTGATTCCTACAAGTTGTTCTCTGATCTCAACATGTGCCCCATGGCCCATGTGTGCGTGCAAAAATAAATGTAGTTTTAAAATTTCAAGAGAATCGGTGAAACATAGCACATGTTCTTAGCACAGATCACTATGATACCAAATCTGGACAGAAAGGGGATTGTTGCTATTGTTTTTTTCATACTTATGAAAGTTTCTAACAAACAGGTAAAGAAATGGGTAAAATAGTTTGCTCTGTAATATCATGACAAATTGACTCTGATGGTTTTATATGTACCATCCACATTGGACACTTGCACTCAGTGTATCTATCTATGGTAAACAGAAACAGGATCACACTGGGCAGAAGCACTGGATTCTGGGCATGACTATAATCCCAGCCTCGAGGACATGCAGCCTTCACGTGAATGGGACTCCCTGCTGACCTGTGCCTGTCACACACCTGAGAGATGACTAACTCCACTCAGTGTGTACCACAGCCTCACCACTGAACTGTCTCAAAGCCTCAGAGCTACTCTTATTTTCTAGAAAGGGACAGAGTAACTCTCATAAAATAAGCATTTTTATTTACAGATTATTTTTAAAACTTCAAGGTATTTCAACATCAAATTCATCTAGTGGGGCTTAATTGAGAAATAAAGTTGAAATATGTATGGTTTGTGACTGATTAAATGCTTAAATCTAGGCTTTAACACAAAAATAAAAAGTGACAATCTATAAATTTATACCAAAAATTGATGAAACATATTAAATAAATGTTGAATACTTAATTTTCAAAAGAGCACAAATTCCATCCTAGTAAATATTATGCAAAATTTAGTTTGAAGAATAGGACAGCTATGACTTTATATGGCCAAAAACCACTGATAACTTCACAATATCTACATTAATGAATTTTATTAAAAGGAGATATTCTAGTGATAATAGTAATGATATTAATTACTCAAAGAATATAGGCCATGAATCAAAGCATTTTTAGGTAAAGTTCTTTTAGAATGTGTTTATCACAATCCCAGAAAATGGACTTTTTAATTCTAGGAGCAGATGTGCTGAATTTTCTTTAAAGGGAAAACAGGGAGCCTGCTTATACAGATTATTTGTGATTCAGCACACATCACCAGCCATTATGTCAGCACAGTGGATAATACTCTAAAGAGAAATATTTGGGGGAGCTTCTTAAGTGGACTAGTTTTCGTTCCCAATGCAAGCCTCTTAGTTTGTTTCTTATACAGTGGGTTTCTTTCTCTTGATCCTCACCTAGCCCTCAGAGGCAGCTAAGCCATCTGAGACGATCAGGCAGCATTATGGTTGAGACCTTAAATTTCTCCAAAAGCCCAGAAGCTAAAGGCTGGGATACCAGTCTGTGCTGCTATTGGGATCTATAAAACCTTCATGAGGGACCGTCCAGTGGAAGGAGTCGGGACATTTGGAGTGTGCCCCTGATAGGGACCCAGGCTCCTTCGTCACCTCTCTGCATTCTGGCAGCAGTGAGCTGAACAGATCTCCTCTCCTACAGGCTCCCACTGCTGACAGACTATGTTGTCACAGGCTCAAAGCAACTGGGTCAAGACTAACACCTAAAATAAGAGCCAAAATTCATTTTTTTTACAATTAAGTTTTGGGGGGAATTTTGACTAGAAGGTAGCTATTTACTCACTTTTTCCCCCGTATTTTTCTGTTCAGGATGTCTGAAGTCTAGAGATACACCTGAGTTATAAATAAAAGTCTAGCTGTTAATAGTCATATGATTGACTATTACACAAGCTAATTGATAAGGGTGTGTGTGTGTGTGTGTGTGTGTGTGTGTGTGTGTGTGTGTGCTTTGTATCTGACTGTGTTGGGGGCACAGAGGTCCTTATCTTCACAGAGAAGAACCAAGAGAACCAGGAATGTTAATCATGCAGAGGTGTCTCTCAGTGGAGGAGATGCAAATCAAATACCTACATTCCATCTAGAAAGCTGAGAGTGGAGGTTAATGATCTGGTGACCTTTTTGCTATCTGAAAGGGCAGCTCTCACCCTAATTCCCCAGAATGATTATCCCAGACTCTTCCCTCCCTAGACTGTTACCCATCCTTAGGGGAGATGTCACGACTACTTTATGGCCTGCTGACCTCTATGCTCTCATCAGAGACCACACTGGATTCTAGGTCTTCTAGCTATAGAACTCACTCTCATGGTCACATGTGTTTTGTCAAAGAGTTTCTGTGTAGTCACATCTTAAGCTTTATTGTGTACCTGCACTGATTGGTGCATGGAAACCTTTTCCCAAATTGTACTGTATTTTAAATATGCTGAAAATGAACTCCCCGAAGTCTGATCCAGGTTGACAAAGTCAATCTGCACCGGGTTTTCATTCCTATCTCTTTGTGCAGTTTGCTTCCCTGTATGACACCTGCAGGGATCCCCCACATGACTATATTATATAAGAATGCAAAGTGTGAGCTGGCATTTGAAAAAACAAGCAAATATAAACGTGCAGATATTGACGTACATTGTAAAGAAAAACAGAGCTGAAAACATAATCTATCTAAAGACCTAAACTGAACGAGATCAAATATTTGGCAAAATGCAACAAGCCAGTATATTATATGAAGTTTCTAAAATAGCATTTATATTCAGCCTTGAATCCCAGCAAGCTTTGAAAAACAACATTGATTCTTTTAATGCTGCCTCTTTTTCTTGAAGGGGGGAAGTTTTAAATTTTAATTATGAAGTAAAACAAGAAAATAAAGAAACATCTTTCTATAGAAGCTAAGCACATTGCCCAGTGGTTAATAAAGACAGGCTTTCAGTGTGGGTAGGCATGGGGGCCTTCTATTTCCTTTGCACAGCTCCCCTCTTCCCTCCCAACCTGACCCCACAGCACCACACAGAATCCTTCACCTGGGATACTGTGGTTTTCACTCCCCCCATATGACTCGTAGGGCACAGCTAGTCAGTAAGACCTGCTAATAGAAGATTCAGTTTCCCTGAGGAACCAACCATAAACTTCAAAAGCTGAATCATCAGCCTCTTATTACATACATGGGAACAGTAGAAAGCTATCTGAGGAACAAAGATATAAAATCCCCATCTAAGTCTCCTCATGCCAGGTCCCCGGGTCCCCCAGGTCTCAACACTTGGTTTAGCTCCCTCTCATGAACTTACTTTGTGCCAAGCAATTAGTGACGCTCTTCCCAGCTCTTTAGGTTTTGAGATTCTGAACACATAGGCTGTGATCTCGTAAACTAAGATGGTATCTGATGTTCACTGAATGTCTGTTAAGAGTCAGGTGCTGTGATACACACTCCATTGTGTTATTTCACCATACAAAAGCCATCCATATAAAAACATCCTGATCTTACAGACGAGGAAACTGAGGCACAGAAAGGTTAAGAACCTCTCCAAAGAAATCATAATGATGGCTCTTGTGTAAACTGGTAGACACCACAATCAATGCTTCTAAGACATTGATGTAACTTGCTTTCTGACCAATTAACACTTCTTCAATACAATGTAATCAATAAGGAAACTTGTTGGATGAAATAGATTGACTGTGCTCAATGTTTTGCATTGCCATTTCTGTGTATCCACAATCAACTCGAGTAAATCAACTCCAGTTAAGCTGAACAAGCAGACTACCAAAGGACAATTAAGCGTCTTCCTAAAATCACAACTCAACGGTGGCAGGGTTGGCAATGGCACAAGATTCTCAGGGCTTTGAAAAATGCTGCATCTCACCTCTCTAGGGAACCTGTGAACAAACCGCAGTTTCTCTGATGTTAAAAATATCTTGGAAAGTAGGCAGAGAGGAGAGGGTGGCTGGATGCCAGACACACAGGTCTGTGAGTCACTGCAGCCAGATGGAGAGCCCAGGAGATCACTCACACCTGCAAAGGCCTGCTGCATCGCATGTGCCAGAGGTGGAAGTCTAGGTCAAATGTTGGCCAGCCTCAATGAGCACCCAAGAGTGTCAGTTGTACTCACAGTGTTCTGAGTAGTAACAAGCTCTGGGGTGGATTTCCAGGTAGAGCTGTACCAGGCTTTCTTAGCTGATACCAACAGGTTGTTGTAGCAGTTAGGAACATCAAGGCAGCTGATTCCAAAAAAAAGAACAGGACCCACCCACAGTTTGAAAAGCTTCTACCAAACTTACATATTGGTAGGAAAATCTGATGGTAAAATCAATTTTTTACTGTTGACACCAGATGCTGTGGAACAGCAATCACATCTACAGGAAACAGTGGCAAGATATTGCCACACACTGACTACAGAATGAGATGTATCCTCCAAAATGGCTGGATTTTACTGACACTTTGATGGATTTTGACATGAATACAAATTTGATCCTCTGAGTTATGATGAATCCAGGGATCAAACCAAAGAATGCAAAATAGCCAGAGTGAGGGAAGAAAGAAAAAACAACCCACAAACAGTTTTAGGGTCTGATGTCAATACAAGGGGAAAATATGGTATCCACTATTGGTGGAGGGTCCACCCTCTAAAAATACTTAGCATTGCTCGGGTACTATTTGTTGGCACTACAAGAGGTACTGGAGTTAGAAGGGCAACTGGTGTTCCTAATCCCCAGACCCTCGCTGGACCACCTGGTCCTATCCAAGTGGCTGGAGTCCATCCCAGCAGGTAATGACCAAGTAAGAGACACAGTAGCAGCCGCTGCTGTTGCTGCTCCTGCTGGCATTCTGGGAGCCCTGGTACCCTCCAGGACAGGGCACTCCATCCCTACCTGTAGCCCCATCTCCAGGAACTGGAGTTCCTCTGCCTGGTTTGAGACCACTCTTAGGCCCACCAATTGACCTGTGCCCTGCTCAAGGAACACTGATGTGCATGCCTCTCTTCATGAGAACCAGGAATTGGAGGTTCATCCCCTCCCCAGGAATGCATGCACCAAGACTCTAGGATGTTGCTAATGAAGATGCTTCTCTTTCCCCTGTAATGCATCTCATGATATTGTGTGGTCTGTGAGTTCTTTGTCCCCTCTCCCTGTATTAATTATAGCTAATAAAAAATATATGAGCAGGGTTTTTTTTTTTTTCTGTTGTTTTAAGCCAACTCTGAAAGTATGAAGACTTCACTCTGAAAACTCCAAAAGCAGGCTGGTGAGATGGCCCACTAAAGGAAGTGTTTGCTGCACAAGGCTGAGAATCTGAGTTCAGATCCCCGGCCCTGCATAAAAAGCCGAGCACAATAACCAAAGCCTGTGATCTGGGCACTGGAAAGCAGCGACAGGAGGATCCTAGGGGCTCGCCCAGCCAGCTAGCCCAGATGAATCAGCAAGCTCCAGGTTCAGGAAGAGACTCTGTCTCAAATATAAGGTGAAGGTGGAAGAAGATAGCCAAAATCAACCGCGGGCCTCTGTAGGCACCCCTCTCCCCCCCCCCCACCCCCACACACTCACATGTGCACACACACCTCTAAAAGTAAGCATTTAACACGTTTATCTCAAATGAATACACTTGGATTCTAAACGTAAGTTAAAGAATTAACAACATAAGTGGTATACACTCTAGGTTTTTAAAGTGGAAATTTCACGTTAACTTTTTATCTTTTTGAAGTGTTCCATTATGCAGCCAAGGCCAGCCTCAAACTCATAATCCTCCTGCCTTGCGCTCCAGAATCCTGGAATTCACAGGCATGGGCCACCATGCCTAGCCTAAATATTTCTCTTTTTCATATTAAAAAAATAACTCCATAAGAGGGTGTTTTGGAAACAAATACGTAAGAACTCTGATGTAATTTTCATTAACAAATGAGCCTTCTCAAGATTTGTGTAAAAATGTATCAGGGCATAGGCACACATGTCTTTATTCCCAACACTCAAGATCAGGCTAGGCTATATAACCAGACCCTTGTCTCCAAAACAAATTTTAAATAAAATGTTAATATTATTTCCCCTCTTGTTGTGGGGAATAAAAATTGAAGATGCTCATGATACACCCATGGTAAGGAAGGCCAGGCCTGGGAGAACATTTCCAGAGAAACTTTTACAAGGCCTACCTTGTGTGGTGAAGACTTGAGGCAAACTCCAGTCACTCCAGATTCCCGAGCCATCCAGTCTCTTGCTCCTCACCTGAACCTCATACGAAGATCCAGGAAGCACACTGTGTACCAGCAGGAAAGGATCGGAGACAACTTCGGCAACCTGTTAAATGTCAGGTTGAAACAGCAGAGCATCAAGTTGGTGAGGAACATTTGCCAAAGCTGATAAGAGGTAAGCCTTGGCAAATCTCAAAGAAGTATAATCTTACAGACGAACTGCCTGGCTACAGAATTAAAACAGAGATCCATGACCAAATGAAAAACAAATGCATCTGTCAGTATAAATTTATAAATAGATCAAATCAAATTGTGACAATTAACGAGTAGTAACTGAATACGAATTCCAATATGGTCTTGAGGATTTGGCGGAAATGGTGCCAAAGTTTTTAGGAATCCTACAACCACTTTGCCATCCATCGTACATCTGGCAGAAAACAATGCGCAGAGGTGTAGAGAGGGTTGTGGGGGTCTTAGAGAGGAAGGCTGCACGAGAAGAAGGCCATGAATGATCCTGAACTACAGGGCATGAGTCAACACACCATTTATAAACCAGAGGGGAAGGCACCCGAGGTCAAACCCTGTAGAAAACACACTCCTGCTGGGATCTGCCTGTGCAGCACATTCAGTTTTCCTTGAATGTGCTTCAGTTGAACTCCCTGCTCTCTTCCAGACTGGGAGAGGAATAAAGGGGTCATAGGTTAAAAATCATGAAAAGCATAAGGTATGCCTAGAACAGTATCAGGACCTTCATATTTACGGTCCTGTAATTTCTGACTTACTATGAGAAAATATCTCACGGTAGCCTTAACTCTGCATCTATACACCCGACATTGAGGGTTCCTGAACTGCTCCCTGTAAAAATAAGGCCTCAGAAGAGTAACGCAGTTCTAAAAAGATTGATTTCTACCTTGGAATGATGCAACACTTTGGTTCACTATGTGCTACGAAAGCTTTCACATGACCCCACAGGCCATTCGTGACCTCCTCCTCCTCCTCCCCGCCCACTCCTGTCTCTGATGTCATCCACTGCCAGTTGTTTTCACTGGCAGTCTCAGTCACACTGGCCTCTGCACTGCTCTTCCCTACTCGACATCCAGTTCCCCGGACCCCTACAGAGCCATCTCCTCCAAGTCCTTGCTCAAATATCACCCTCTCAACGAGGCATTCTGAAACCTCCACTTACTACGGCAATCTTTCCTCATCCTCTTGGATCCCAAAGTATGTTGCTGCATCTAGAATAGCTCCTGGCAACAAACAGGCACTCAAAAAACACATTAGCATAGGCCAAAGAGGATGCTGACTGACTTCACAACACAAATGCATACGTTGTGTGTAAACACACTGAGCAATGGAAAAGTAAGAATGCACTGTAAATCAGCAGCACTCTACAGATGAAAACGGTTATGTTGAAATTTTATAACTGGACTTTCCGTAGTGTGTATAAATTATTTCAATGTGTAATATTCAATATAATTCAATCCTTTCTAGAAAGCACAGGCATGGATAATTTCTAAGAGACTTAGGAATCTTCCATTGATTCTTAAGTTTCACTTTCTTTACCAAAATATACTTACCTCTTTTTTAACTGTAGAATTCTCTGAATATTTCACTTGATATTGAAGTGGAAAGAGTGCCACCATTGGGCTGTCCCAAGAAATCTTTAAATTACCATCATCTGTGATTTCCATTTGTAAACCTAACGGTGGATCAGGTTTCACTTAAGGAGGGAAAAAAAGACTTTTAACTCAGGCAATTTTCATGGCAATCATATCCGAGTAAAATGAGGTTGAAATGAACTTCCAGCATAGCTTGCCTTTCAAATACTTAAAAAGTTAAATCATTTGAGGGCTAATTACAGAAGTAAAGCAGAGATGCATGATGGGCCCATCCCTTGTAGCATACTTATCACAGCAAACCACTGTCTCTCTTTCCCCTCTGTGGGAAAGACGATAAACCAGTAAGTGGGATTGTTTTGATAAATGTAATTTCCTTCCATAAAAAGTCTGCCTAACTTCACTTTGCCTAGTAATTTTCAAACCTACGTGGAGTCTCTGCCTAGTTCCAGTCACTGTACTTGCTTTCACTGGTCATGAGGACAACATCAGTGTGCAGAACAATATTCAGAAAATGCACAGACCTGGGCAAGAGTCAGCATATATGTTCATGTAAAATAACAATCCAAACACACCTACTCAACTCAAAACAAATTTCCCATGCAATAATGTGCTGTTATAAGGCCCTGACTGTCTCTGGACATAGGAATGGGGTCTTGTAGCTTAATGGGGATTTGAACCAGGTAAATCTAAGTTCAAGTGTACATGTGCATATTGACATTTGTATGTGTATGTGCATATATAAGTACATGACTATTTCAACCAATAAGAAAACCTTTTAAATATGTGAAGAAACAATTTAAATATCTTGCAGGTAAAGATTACTTTAACAAGTTATGGTTCACATCATAAAGGAAATTCAAGCAGCCATCACATTGTAGTAGAATATTGAAAAACATTAACTTCTGAAGTTCAAGAGGCTTATCACAAATTCATACTTTGATTGTTTTAAAAAATCTATTTTATTTTTATTTGTGTGTGTGTGTGTGTGTGTGTGTGTGTGTGTGTGTGTGTGTGTGTGCGCGCGCGCGCGCATTCAAGTACCCTAGGAAATCAGCAGCTGAGAGTGACACATTTCCTCCAACAAGGTCACACCCACTCCAACAAAGCCACACCTCCTAATAGTGCCTTTGGGAGGCCATTTTCTTTCCAACCACCACAACCATCATAACAGAAATAATAACTCCTGTACCAACACTCTCACATAATACATCTTAATTCTTCCACAGCATTTACAAATTCTGGATATTTTATGTCCAAATACAAGAAACTGGTCTTTCCCTAAAATTATCTCTGCATTAGGACAGAATTAAGAGTTTCCAAATATATATATAAATTCTGTGGTCACACTTTCCCTTAACCTACTCTACTTGGGGAACAAATTAAATGCAATGCTGATCTACGTGCTTTTTTAAATTACCAGGTAGAACTAGTTTTGCAAAGATAAACATATGTTGCTAAAAAAATATTTTATCATTTTTTTCCCATGACATAATTTCACAATTGAATTGCTTAGGTATTATTATCATTATTTTGTAAAAAAGTCATGCCTATGTCTCTAGAGAACAAATTACTTGAAAGTTAAAATAAAATGTTAAACAGGGATCAAAAATAGCATCTTAAGTCATAGGAAAAGAAGCAACATTTGGAACTGTGTGGAAAATTGTCACAGATAAATGGAAAAGTGTTTCCAGTGACACCAAGATCCATGAATCAAAGGCAAATGTGGAGAGTTGCTCAGAGGGTGGGGAGATGGCTCAGCTGATAAAGTGCCTATCATGTGAGTTTGGATCCCCAGCACCCACATAAAACCCAGGCATGGTCATGTGTGCCTGTGGTCCTAGTGCTGAGAGGCCAAATATAGGTGGGTTACTGGAGCTCACTACCCAGTTAGTCTTGCCAAATTGGGAGCTCCAGACTCAGTGAGAGACCTTGTCACACACACACACACACACACACACACACACACACACACACACAAATTAATTAATGAATTGATTAATTAAATTAAATAAGGAAGAGCAATAGAGGAAGAAGCCCAACATTGACCTTTGACCTCCACATGCACCTGCCCACACACATGCAACACATATGAAGAGTTGCATGTTACCATTTCAGAAAACAGAAATAAAAAATAGTAAAGCTGCTGAGTTACATACAATTGAACACATTGTACATCAGCGTGCATATAAAACTAAAAAAGTAACTTAATACCTGCACATGTTATTCACATCTATGAACTCAATATTTAATTTATTAAAGGAGGCTTGAGGATCTCTGCAATAAGAAAATGGGATGCTCCACCCATGTGAGGTTGTCTTGTACTCGGGCTGTGCAGTGGATGGCTTAACTGCTTACTAGTCAACTGTTGACTCTGCTCACTACTACAGGCCTGCTGTGTGAGTAGAAACCCTGCCCTGCTCCTCACGGTGTCTCCAGCCCCTATAATAGTCCCTCCACCCATGACTACTAAGATATATTTCTCGGAGGAATATTCAGGTAAAAATGTTTTTAATAATTTTCAGAAATAGTTATCTGAGTGTGGTGGTATTGTGTTCCCCAAAATATTGTGCACCCTAATAAACTTATCTGGAGTCAGGAGAGCAGAACAGCCACTAGATATAGAGGCCAGAAAATTGGGACACATGACTTTAATCCTAGCATTCCAGAGGCAGAGATCGGTCTGGATCTCTGTGAGTTCTAAGCCACATTTGAAACAGCCAGGTGTGGAAACAAGAGCCTTTAATCCCAGGAAGTGATGGCAGGAGGCAGAAAGGTATATAAGGCGTGAGGACCAGGAACTAGAGCTGGTTAAGCTTTTAGGCTTTGAGCAGCACAGTTCAGCTGAGATTCATTCGGATGAGGACTCAGAGGCTTCCAGTCTGAGGAAACAGGATCAGCTGAGGAATTGGCACGGTGAGGTGGCTATGGCTTGTTCTGCTTCTCTGATCTTAAAGCATTCACCCCAATAACTGGCACTAGGTTTGTTTTTTATTAATAAGAACTTTTAAAATTTGTGCTACATCTGAGATGTAAACAGGTGATGGTCAAATAATACACATTCATTCACTAAATCCCAGACTTATAGAGGCCACAGCTGCTTCAAAGGATGGCTTCATCGCTAGTGTTAGAGACATGTACTACTGTGAACACACTGGAGAAGCTGCCTGGAATACCCTAGTACTACATTACCAGGATTTTCAGCATTGATCAAAGTGATGTAAGCCAGTGAAGATCTTTAACCTGCAAACAACCTGTCAACCCCTCCATGCAATTGATTTCTTAGGACTATTATCATTCTGACGTGCAACTTACCGACAAGCATGGGCTGCACTGTCATTAGAGGTGACTGAAAAGTCACTCCAGCAGATGTGATTTCCAAGTACATCAGAAGAGAGTGGTTGACTTTGGCTCTTGGCACTACCACATGACAGTCACAGTCCCGAACACTGCAGTTGCACTGGACAGTCTGAAAACTGTCTTTCAAGGGAGCCAGAGGCAAACCATCTATGACTTCAGGCCTGTATTTAAATATAAGAGCAACATGTGAGCATGGGTAGGGGAACACTGGATGGTTTTTGAAAGCAGGACATCGACGAATCCAGCCTAAAGACAGACTGTATCAGGGAAAAAAAAAATACGAAAGAGCAGATTAACTGTCAAGGTAGCATCAGCAAGGGGTCACCAAGACACTAAGAGGAAAGAAAAGCCATAGCTCTAAGATACTACCCATAGTGAAAATATCCTTAAAAACAAATATAAAATAAAGATCTTTTCCAGGCACATACATCTAACTTAAAGAATCATCTTCAGATCTGCATCATAAAAATACTAAAGAAAGGCTTTGGACACCAGAAAATAAAAGAAGATTGAAATCTGGTGTCACACAAAGGAATGAAGTTTAACTCCAAGGATAATTATTTATTGGTTGATTAAAGCAAAAAAGGCAACCATGTATTTACAGGGTGTGGCATATACTAAAGCATGGCGCATTATCAACCTGGCTTGGGGGAGCTGCAAGTGTACAGCTGAAATGTTTCATGACATACAAAGTGGTACAGGGTCACTTAGATTCTAAGACATGCCGTAATTCAAAGGCCACTGAAATAATTAGTCATGCAGACAAAACTAATAGGCAACAAAGCAGATTACATGGGAATCATAAAAAAAAAAAAAAACAACCTAAAAGAATACAGAAAAGCAGCTGGGCTGTGGTGGCATACACCTTTACTCTCAGCACTCAGAGGCAGACAGATGTCTGAGTTTGAGGCCAGCCTGGTCTAAGAGCAAGTTGTAGGCCAACCAGAGCTATACAGAGAAACCTTGTCTTGAAAACAGAAGAAGAAGAAGAAGAAGAAGAAGAAGAAGAAGAAGAAGAAGAAGAAGAAGAAGAAGAAGAAGAAGAAGAAGAAGAAGAAGAAGAAGAGAGAAAAGAAGAAAAGGACAAGAAACAATGGGATGAGAAAAGAGACAGAAGGCTTGAGAATAGAGTTGGTGGGATTAAATACAAATAGTCTAAATATCTCATTTAGAAGGCAGTCAGTAGCAAATTGGGTGAAAAATAAGACCCAATTATAAACCTCCCATAAGAAATCAATTTTAACACTAAAATGAAAATTTACTACAAGAGATGGTTAGAAAAACATGTTATTTCAAGATGAATCAAAATAAAGCTGAATAGCTATATCAATGTCAAGAAAGTTGAATTCAGTGCAATAATTATTCACCACAGTAAAGAAGGTCATTCATAACAAAAAAAAAGTTGTGGAGGGGGTCACTAAAAGTACATAATATGTATTTACCCAATAACAGGCAAAAATAGGCTAAGTCACAGTTCCTGGTGGAAATTTCAAACCTTCTCTAATAATTAATGTAACGAATGGACAAAACAATTTAGGATTAGGAGCTGAACAACACTGTCAACCAACTTGACCCATTGGTGAGATTAGTTCTCCACGTTCCAGCCACAGTAAGTTCACCTTGCAGCCAGTCAACATTTAGCATTGCCAAATTGTGCAAAATAAGCCATCCCTCCCATTGAAGGACAATGTCATCAAGAGCAGGAGAATTTCTGATAGGGCAACGAAAAAGTAGACCCAAATATGTAACTTGCTACTACGTATTTAATTCTTATCTGCTTTCAAGGAAAGTTTGTTCCTATATATAAGAACTAAGTATAGTGTGAAGATGAGGAGGAGGGCGGGAACTGAAGAGATGGCTTTGGGTACAGTGTCTGCTGCACAATCATAAGGACTGTGTTTGACTTCAAAGACCCCACATAAAAGCTGGATGCAAATGTAGGCATCTATGACCCCAGGACTCTGACTGCAAAGTGGGAGCAGAAGCAGGAGAATCCCCAGAAGCTCTGCGGCTAGCCATCATCAACAGACAGGACACCCTGCCTCAAAACAAGGTGGGATGTGAGGACTGACACTCACGGGTGTACTCTCTCTCTCTCTCTCTCTCTCTCTCTCTCTCTCTCTCTCTCTCTCTTTTACACACACACACACACACACACACACACACACACACACACCCCACAGGTTGCTACTATCTATTTAATTCTTAGATATATGAACAAACTTTACTTGTAAGGAAATAGTGATGCAGAAACATTTGTCAAATTGATTTTAAATCTGGCTTTTTTTTTTTTTTTACCAACTTTACCTTGTACAAAATTGTCTAGTTAGAGGCATAAGTATTTAGAACTCAAAATTCATTGTTAACAGCCACACATGGCTTATAGAAGGTATTCAGTCCTTTGACCATAGGTACAATTTCTTTTCTTCCCATGAAATTTCTCTATAAAATTATTAGCATTCTCTGAGCCAAGCCTACACTAAACTAGTAAAAAATATCACCAAAGTGTGCCACCTGAGGTCCTAACTTAGGAAAGTTGACAGCCAACCCCAGTCCACAGCCCTTGAAGAGGAACTTTACCCACATTAGCTTTGTAAATTGTCTATTTGAAGCTTCATACCACGAGTTGTAAAAATGGTACCACAAGCTGGGCAGTAGAGGCCCACACCTTTAATTCCAGCACTCGGGAGGCAGAGGCAGGTAGATCTCTGTGAATTTGAGGCTAGCCTGGTCTACAGAGTGAGATCCAGGACAGCCAGGGTACAAAGAAACTCTGTCTTAAAAAAAAAAAGTGTGTGTGTATTCCATTAATTATCTAGATTACAGCCCCTGATAATCAATTTTCTCTTCTATAAGCTTTTCTTATCCAGCATCATGAGGAGGCTGATTCAGCTCAGGTGTCCACACTGAAAATGTCTGACCACATCCCATGTTCAAGCACTTTATCTATGGATCTGAGCCCCCCTCACACCCTCTGCATTCCTCTCTCTCTTGCCTCAATTCAGCAATACTGCCAGGTGCTGCCTAAGTTCCCTAGCCCTGTGCTGCATTCTGGAAAGTCCTCCCACCCTAGACAGCTGGGACAATTCAGAGCCTGCTTTGGATTCCTTCCACTATATAAGTGGTTAGCCACATGTAATAAAGTAGATAATGTTCCCTAAAGTCATCTCCTGAGTGGTTCATCTCTGCACCCTTTACCAACCCACAGGCATTGCTTTCTTGGCTAGGAACACCCCAGTAATGACAGCAGTGCTCCATAACTCAAAACAAAAATGTGCATATGCCCAAGTCTGGCAGACAGTTGGCTATACCATTTAAAAGGTGGTGCTAATCAAAGAACTCCCTGTTCTTCAACATCTCCAAGCTAGAAAACAAACAAACAACAAAAACCCTCACCCCTGACCCTGATTCATGGCTCAAGGAGTAAAGGCACTTGTCACCAAGCCTGATGGCCTGAGTTTGATCCCTGGGACCCATATAGTTCTATGGCCATGCCTAAGCTGCGACACACGCACCCACACATATACACACGTTTACACACACACAAATAAATTAATGTAAAAATATTTTGAATATTACACCAAGCACCTCCAATTTATGAGACCAGCTAGCTTTTCAGCAGCACAAATACTTCTCTTCTTAAGAAATAGTTTGCGGGCCGGGCGGTGGTGGCCCACGCCTTTAATCCCAGCACTCCGGGAGGCAGAGCCAGGTGGATCTCTGTGAGTTTGAGGCCAGCCTGGGCTACCAAGTAAGTTCCAGGAAAGGCGCGAAGCTACACAGAGAAACCCTGTCTCGAAAAACCAAAAAAAAAGAAAGAAAAGAAAAGAAATAGTTTGCTTGCTGGCCATCTGCGTCTGCATTATCAATAAGAGCAGCCATGACCAAAGGGACCACCCTCCCTGGTCAACATCCCATAGGACACAGTGAAGTTTCTCTTGATTTCTTTTTGTAAGAGGAAACAAAGAAAAATACCATTAAACAAAAGGAACCAGTTTTACCTGGGAAACTGAGGTTTCCCTCTAGGTTCTGAGTCTGTTAATAAAAGAATCTTAAAGGAGACTCAGAAAGATAATTTTGTCAGAATTTGAGAGAAAAGCCCCAGGGCAGGAAAATCGGTACATCTCCGCAGCTGCCTGGAGGGAGAGCTGAGTGAGGAAGAGAGGAAGACAGGGACTTGGAGGTCGGCAAGCCACTGAACAGTAGAAGATGGAGGGGAACTTCAGAGAGAGATTGGGAAAACCCAGAATGCCAGGGAAAGCATGCTTAGGCTTTGGCCAATATCCAAAATAGAGAGAAAATGAAAAGTTGTGATTTTCTGAGTGACTCCAAAAAGTGACCAGGTCATGTGGCCGTGGCTCCATATACCACAGAGTCGAGAAGGGGCTTGTGGGTAGGATAGACTATCTCACTAAGAGGCTAATTAGCCCACCCCTTGCCTGGGTGAATCAGATTTCTGGCAAGATGGGAGTGAGTGAAAAATGGACTACTGGCCCAGTAATTGACAGGGCACCTAGGTTAAATCTTTAAAGGAGGTCATTTTGAACGTCAGGTCTCCCCAGGGAAAGAAGTAGAACTTAGATTTTGTTCTTTTGACCAGGATGATGAAGCTTGGCCTTAGTGGACCTCCATAGAGCCAGCTACCTCCACTTCTTCATAAAGCAATTTAAATTCTAAGGAGGGCCTTCCCTGTCTAATGTTACCAGAAGAACAGGAGGTAGGGTCCAAAGTCCATGAGAGAAAGATCTGTCCTTGTTGGCCTACCAGCTAATAAAAGTCTGTCTAGCTACAAGGACATGGAAATTATACAGTATCTAGTCTCTCCAGAAATAAGTTCAAGTCAAGAAATGACTTAGTGAGAAGGGCTTATTCACTTTCAGAATGAATCTGAAAACTGTCATAGGCCAGTGAGGTAGGGAAAGCCTAGTGACCCTGGAAACTTCCCTTGAAAAAACTTGTCTGCTTCTCCCTGGTTAAGCAATATCCAGAGCCTCCCCATCAGCCCTGTGGGTAATCTGGGGTCAGACACTTTCCGGTAGAGGGAGATAAACAAGACTGACTTACATCAATATTGGACGCAAGCACAGAGAACATGTCCAGTGAAGCAACCTGCCAGGGGAAAACTCAGGAAAGGACACGGGTATCTTTCATTATGAAGGAG